GAGGTGCTTTTTCTTTCTTTTGGTTAATTGGGCTAGTGGTCTGTCAATCTTGTTTATCTTTTCAAAGAACCAGCTCTTGGAGTTGTTGATTCTTTGTATTGTTTTCTTTGTTTTAGTTTAATTAATTTCTGCCCTGATTTTTGTTATTTCTTCTTGTCTGCTGGGTTTGGGTTTCCTTTGCTGTTACTTTTCAAGTGTCTTGAGTTGCAGTGTTAGCTCATTTATTTGTGTTCTTTCTGATTTTTTGATGTAGGCACTTAGAGCTATAAACTTTCCTCTAAGGACTGCTTTCAGCATGTCCCAGAGGTTTTGTTGTGTTGTATTGTCATTTTCATTTTTTCCAGGAGTACCTTTATTTCTTTCTTAATTTCTCTTTTGACCCATTCATCATTCAGGAGTGTATTGTTTAATCTCCATGTGTTCATGTGGTGATTAGGGTTTCTTTGGGTGTTGACTGTAAGCTTTATTGCATTGTGGTCTGATAGAATGCATGGAATTATTTCAGTCTTTTTGTATTTGTTTAGGTTTGTTTTGTGCCCCAGTATATGGTCAATTTTGGAGAAGGTTCCATGGGGTGCTGAGTAGAACGTCTGTCCTCTGGTGCTTGGGTGGAATACTCTGTAGATGCCTGTTAAGTCCATTTGCTATATGGTATTGTTTAATTCAGATGTCTGTCTGTTAACTCTCTGCCTTGTTGACCTATCTAATGGAGACAGTGGGGTATTGAAGTCGCCTACTATTAATGAGTCAGGATTAATCTGGGTCTTAAACTCCTGTAGTGTTGTTTTTATGAAGTTGGGTGCACCAGAGTTTGGTGAATATATGTTCATGATTGTAATATCTTCTTGATTCATTGTTCCTTTGATCAGAATGAAGTGGCCCTCTTTGTCTCTTCTGATTAGTTTTAGTTTAAAGCCAATTTTGTCAGGTATTAGAATTGCTACACCTGCTTTTTTCTTAGTGCCATTTGCTTGGTATGTTTTTTTCCATCCTTTCACTTTGAGATAGTGACTGTCCTTAAAAGTGAGATGAATTTCTTGCAGACAACAAAACGATGGGTTTTGTTTCTTAATCCATTCACATTGTCTTTGTCTTTTTAGTGAGGCATTCAGTCCATTAATATTTAAAGTTATTAATGAAAGATGGGTATTTAATGTTGTCATTTTTATTTCTGTTTACATTCTTGATATCGCTGTACTTTTCCACAGTTATACCTTCTTTGGGTTTCTTTCTGAAATCCCTTTGATATAGTCATTCCTTTCTTCAGTTCTTTGTATCTCTTCCAGAACTCTTTGAAGGGCTGGTTCTGAGGGTGGACATGAATTCCTTCAGCCTGTATGTCATGGAGGACTTTTCTTCCTCTTCGACTATAATAGACATTTTGGCTGGGTATAGTAATCTGGGTTGGCATCTGTGGTCATTTAACACTGGGAATACTTTGGTCCAGGCTCTTCTGGCTTTCATAGTTTGCACTGAAAAGTCAGCTGTGATCCTAATGGGTTTTCCTTTATATGTGACTTGTTGTTTCTCTTTTGCAGCTTTCAGAATTGCCTCTTTGTTTTGTACATGTAGTGTTTTTACTATGATGTGCAATGGAGAGTTTCTTTTCAGGTCCTGTCTGTTTGGTGTTCTGTACGCTTCTTGTATTTGTATGGGCATATCTTTCTTTAATTTTGGGAAATTTTCTTCCACGATTCTGTTGAAGATTGGTCCATGCCATTATTTTGGGATTCTTCTCCTTCCTGTATGATTCATAAGTTTGGTCTTTTTATGGAGTCACACAATTCCTGCATATTACATTATTGCGATTTCTTAAATTTTTCATAATCTTTGCTTGAGTGGTCTAGTTCATCCACCTTATCTTCCAGTCTTGATACTCTGTTTTCCATTTCATTCATCCTATTGGTGAGGCTTTCTCCTGTCATTTCTAAACGGCTTATGGAGTGTTTCACTTCGTTCTTCATTTCAGCCTGAGTATTCTTCAATATTTCTAACTCTTTTCTGAATTCATTCAGAATTTTATCCCTATCTTCCTTCAGTTCTTTGATTTTTTCATTTGTGTGTTCTTTAAATTCACTGAAGTCTTTTTTCATGTTTATGATTGTTCTTTTGAGTGCCATGTCCTTTATTATCTCTAGGTGGTTCTCACTATACTCCTCTAGAAGAGTATTGGTATTTGGTGGGGATATGTTATTTTGGTTTTTCATGTTATTATTTTTTCTCTGTGATTTTGACATGTGAATTTTTTTTGTAGTTTCTGATTCTTGTGTGAGACTCAAGCCTTCAAGTTTAGGTCTGCTTCTTTTTGTGAACTTTATGTGACTTTGTGCTTTACTGTTTGGGCATGAAAATCTGGTTCATCTAAGTTTCTAGTTCACTCTTTTTTTTTTTTTTTTTTTTCTTTTTTCCTTTTTGAGACAGGATCTCCCTGTAGTTTTGTCTTTAGGAGTTCCCACAGAGGCCCAATTCAGATGAGGGTCAGATGATTTCAGGCTTTCTCCTAAGGTCTGGATCCTTCCAGGACTGATTTTGGCCTCAGGAATTTGGGGGTTGGACTGGCCTGGGAGCCTGGCCCTGAAAAGATGCTGGTCTAGGGCAGCTGGTGCATGTGCCACCCAGAGATTCAAAGGCAGATGGGGCGGGAAGAGGCTCCAAGGACTCCTGGGGACTGCACTGAGGAGCTGGGTTGGTCCCAGAGAGAGGCCTGCGGGTGGGAGAGAGCGGAAGCTGTTTGTTTTAAAAATATTTTATTTATTATTTTTATTACGTGTATGAGTGTATTGCCTGCATGTATGTAAGTACATGTGTGTTATGCAGGTCTTGAGAAGCTCAAAAGAGGTCATTAGAGTTCCTGGAACTGGAGTTAGGGATGATTGTTAGCCACCATGTAGGTGCTGGGATTCAAAACCTGGTCCTCTCCAAGAGTAGCCAGTGCTCTTAACTGCTGCGCCATCTCTCCAGCCCCAAAGCTGTTTGTTTTTAAGGAAAGATTATCATTGTTCTTCGGCACACAGTGGTCCCCTGAAAATTCTTGTTATGGGAGCCAGCTTTTAATAAAATTCTTACCAGGTGAAACTTACCTATTTGATAAAGACATTTCCAATTCAGAATAAAGTCCTTTTAAATGTCAATTAGTTTTTGAGAATTTCAACTAAGAATGGAGCTTGGTGATTTTTGTGCTACAGAGTCCTCCTCTGCCTACTCCTTCTTTCCTCCCCAGCCTTCTGTCTTTCTTCCCTCCTTCCTCTCCAGTGTAAAACCTTACTGTCAAATTGTAGTGCTAACCCTTTAGTTTGAGCACTTACACATTTTCTTTCATTTATAATCCTTCACTTATAGTAATAGGATTTCAGTAACCCTGCTACATACTATCCTTTATTCAAAGATTTAAAAATCAAATCTTTAATAATTTGTAGAAATAGAATTTGATTTAATATGACTTTCTAATGCTGCTTTCATTTGGAAATTGCCAGTGTTGTATGTGTACAGTTTCAGCAGATTGAAGAATTTCCTTGGGGGCATTGTTTTATTGCTTTCGCATTCCTTCCTGCTCTGTTGAGTCTAATGAGGTTTATCTGTCCTTTAGGTGACCTACAAACGAGATCTGTATGCGGCTGAATCGATTATTAAGGGTATGTTCGGCCTTGTGACTGTCAGTTCCTGTGTTTCAAGAAATGTAAGCCAGCTAAGAATTTCTCAGGACAGTTTAAATCCCAGCCATCTGAGAAGGACAGATGCCTGTAGGCCACTGAGGTCTCTGATTTGGTTTTTGAAAATAATTGCATTTTATTTTGCTTCCTGCTTGTGAAATACCACTTATTAGACCACATTGATTTTAATTTTTATAAAAGAAAGACTTTAGCCTATTGAGTATGGGGCATCAATACTATTAGAAAGGCAGCTGTGCAAACTGATAGTAAAATTGTAAAGGTACCTCATGTTTACTGCTTAGAGGATTGTCCCTGCCCCTTAAGGCTGTCTTATTAAAGAACTGACACCTTCCGTGTGGCAAACATTTACACAAATTAGGAAAGTGTGCTGGATGATTTTTAAAAATTCCCTACTTAGTCTGACAGTGACTGTAATATTATTTTGTAAGTTTAGATATCATGTATATAAAAAGTACCTCCCCTTATCACTATGATTATTGTGATCCCAGTTAGTATATTTAATAACCATAACACAGTTACTACTGTGGAAGGCATGTAATCCGAACACAGAAAGGACATTCTCCTGTGTTTTTCCAGGCTGTTTTTTAAATCAGAGTTCTCAACCTCAGCACTATGCTGACAGTATTGGCCAGATGACTGCTGTATTTCAGGATGGTTTGTGCTTTGTTTAGTAGTCTGGCTATCTACTACTGTGATTCCATAAACAGTTTCCCTGTCTCACTGGCACCCCAATTGTTATCCTCAAAAGCATCTCTTGAAGTTGTCAGATGTCCTCAGAGGATAAAGTTGCCTCTAACTGAGAACTTGTGTTTTTAATATGTAGTTTTAGTAGTAAAATCAGAGGTTTTACTCCAATCTGGAGACAAGAATATGCTTCACAGTGTGTTAGTGTTTTTATCAAAAGTAGATTATGGCCAAAATGATGCCCAAGTTTTGACTGAGAGGTGAGCATAAATTCATTCTTTTGCTGAGGTAGAAAAAGTACTCAACCTGAATTCTGCACACATCACTTCATTTAAATTTTAGGAAAAAGTAGTTGACAGTTAGTTGGCCTCATACGTGAAAAGCTGGAGTTGTTTTTCTGATCATGACACTGTTTGCATTTTGCCCTCAGATTCTTTGCTCTTCAAGAATATTTTGTTTCAAACCATTAATATCATATAATTTGTGTTTCTGTGTATGTAAACAGACCATCTATAATCATAAATCAAAATGTTGACATATATTTACATATCAGCTAGGCAATGTGTAAATATTTCTCTGATAGAGGTTGGCTAAGCCATTCTGTGGGAGTTTATGCTTTTAACACAAAGAAATAGAATACTCAGTTTGCTTTCATTTCCAAGTCCATTTCTATGTTACCTGGGTAGAATGGAAGTGATTTGTGAGCGATATTTAAGTGTCTCAGCTGTGGATTCTCCGCATTGTGATATTTGGCCTGTGTGTGATATTTACCATTAACAGAGCAGATTGGTAATAGAAAGTTAACATTTTAAAACTAATTATTTTCTTATTTATATAACATAGTAATTTTTTTTTAATGTGCTCTATTTTATTCTTAGAGAGTACTCAGAATGGCTGGATGTAAGCAGCTGATTTAGGTTAACAAACTCCAAAAGTTTCCTTATCCCTTAAGGTTTGTGTTTCTAAAGCCTTCTGGGATAGTGATGTCACTAGCTGCTCCTTTTGGTCTCTTACAGGTCACCCCATCTAAATTATCTTTACTGCATTGCAGGCTCAAGTCTTGCTGTGGTCTACTAACTCCAAAATGTGTGTTTCTTTATCTGAGATTAATACTGACCTTCATGAGTTACATAAAGACCAACACTGATAATTGAAGTACCTTTGGGAATGGGAGAAAGAAAGCTTTTGGGGTTTTGAAGTTCTAAAATATAGTCAGGCAGTGCATGTCTAGGGAGGCAGAGAGAGGAGGATCCAGCCAGCATAGCTGAATCAGTGAGCTTCAGGCCCCAGGTTCAGTGTGAGACCCTAAAAATCAGTTGTAGAGCAACTTGAAATACACCAAATGTTGACCTCTTGTCTTCACGCACACATGCAGATAGATACACATACACCACACCTAAAAAATTAAATGAAGTAATGTATAAAATGTGATATGGTTAATAGAAGTCTGTTTAAGCTATAAATTCTCATTCCCATTTACCAGTATATTGGTTGGGCTATCCAGAGAAACAAAGCCAAAAGGATATACATAGGCATTGCTATACAGAAAGAAATTCATTATGAAGTCTCCTCTGTGATAGGAGGGCATGGGCCAGAGACACATTTCCATGCTGCTCCCTGCAGTAGCCTCAGGATTTCTTTTTCAGAGTTCTCTACTATGGTCAAGCTGGAGTTTTTGACTTCACTGCCAAAAAAGAATTTCAGAACAAATCAATATTAAACAGAGTTGGAGTTTATGAAGAGATTTTTTTTTTTTTTAAGTCAGAGGCTAATAGAAAGGCATTCAGGAAAATGTTATAAAACACCCGTGTGAATATGGGCTTCTCTTATTTTTGATTTTAGTGGGTTCTGAAGTTACATCTTTAAAGGTTCCAGGTTCCAGGAATGAGATCATTGGGTGGTTCCTGAGGTGTACCAGGCATGATTGTAATTGGTAATATATATATAATGAAAATCCTGTATCTCCAAGTTGCACAGAAAGTTAGGATGGATTTTCCTCTAAAACAACTTATTGTTCTTGTTTATGAAATGGCCAGATAATATCTGATAATGTATCATTATATATTCTCAGGCCTTAAGCATGATTTCTTGATGTTCTATAAAATACCTCTATATAAAATCAGTATTATCACTATGTTGGAAAGCTTCATAGCAAATGCCATTAACTGTGCTTGAATTCTTTATTCTCATCTGGTGAGAGCTGCCATTGGTCTACAGAGTGAGAGGCTCCTCTCCTTTTCTGTGTCCCCCAATTTTCCTGTCTTTCTTTCCTGCCTCTCCATGAGCTGCTCTCTGCAAGCTAGAGGCCCAGGAAATCCCATGGTATTGTTTCTGTCTAAAGCCAAAGGCCCGAGAACCAGAAGAACCACTATCCTTCAAACTGAAACTAGGACTGAGGGCAGAAGATGGATCTTCAAAGAGGGAGAATTTTCCCTTAGGTTCCTCCTGTCCTCCTGATTAGTTAGGCCCTGGGTGAACTGGATGCCATTCACCCCATATTGATGAGGGCCACTTTCTTCCTTCAGACTGTTCTTGGAATTGCAGACCTCCTCTAGGAACTCTAACTCTCTCATCAAGAGGTTAACCAGCTATTTGGACATTCCTTTGCTCAGTCAAATTGATGTATAAAATTAACCATCACGCTTAATAAATGTTCAAAATTTTATTTTATTTTTTGTGGTACTGGGGATTGCACCTAGGGTCTTGAGTATGCTGGGCAAGTGGTCTACCACTGACCTACAGTCCAGCCTTCTTTTTAACTTTTTATTTTGATACAGGATCTCTCTAAGTTGCCCATGGTGGCCTTTAGCCTGTGATCCTTGACCTCTTCAGTATCTGGGATCACAGACCTGCATTAGTATGTTTCTAAGTACTCATTCCTAACAAATATTGGACACTAGCTTTGTGCTGAGCATTGTTTGGAGGATTTTGTCTATAGCGCTTTATCTCCCAGAAATTAATGATGTAGGTAGTGTTATAATTTCCATGTTGTAATGCAGTGAAGTGTTCTAAGGTAATACGGACTTGAGAACAATTCAAACCGAGCTTCTTAACTGCAAGCCTGTGCCTTGGGTGCCTTGCTTCTTTCATCTCTGTTGTCCCCTGCTTTCTTCTCCCTAAGGAGGAGTGGTTCAGATTCTCTTATCTGAGACCCATAGGTTATCTGTGTTTCTATTCTTTCAGATGCAAAAACACATAATTTATTTATTTGGAATATCTTTATTTTTGACAATTTCATATGTGTATATAGGTAGATCTTGATCATATCCTACCCCCAACTCCCTGCTCCAACTCCCCAAGCTATCAAACATGTCTTCCTCTTCATGCCCCCCCCCCCGTTTTATTGTAATCTACTGAGTCTAATTAGTACTGCCTGCTGGAGTATTGATTGATCTTGTTGGCTTGACCTTGCACAGGTAACCGTAGCTGCAGTGAGTTCTTTAATCCAATAGCCATGTCAGGTCCAGAAGAAGGCATTTCACAGTGCTCCTCTCCATTGTCGGATGCTTACATTCTTTCTGCCTCTTCTTTGGTGATGTTGTTCCTGAGCCTTGGGGTTTGGGGGTGATTGATATAGCTATCCCTTCAGGACCGGGCACTGAACAGTCACTTACTCTTAGCTACTTGAATAGTTATGAGTTTCTTTATTGCTGCCCACTACAGAAAGAGGCTTCTCCAGTCAAGGTTGAAACCAGCAGGACTACACAAGTAAAAATGTAAATATTTACACGTTAGTTTTACAGCATGTCTGTCCACTTAGTAAAACAGAAGTAGTAGTTTCCCCTTATGGTCTTTACCTACTGAGTCATGGGCTCTTGACCAGGCTTATAGTATCAGATATGAATCCCTTCCTGTGGGCAGACCTCATATACAATTAGCAAGTGATTGGTTACTCTCATAACCGTCATGACACTATTGAACCTCTTGCCTGGAAGGTTACTATTGTAGCATTCAGGGTCCAGTTCTGAGTATGACTATCAATGTCTTTCCTACCCCCCAGCAGCCTGCATTACAGTCATCAGCAGAAAGGAAATTTTCTGGTCAGGCCCAGCATGATTTTCTATGTCCCATAACCAAAGCGTGTTGTGTCTTGGAAAATCAAGAGGAATGGCAATAGTCTGTGTTGTTTTGAGTTCCTTTGGGATAGCCCTGCCTAGAACTGAGATTTTCATTTAATAATGCTTGTCTTCTGGAGGAAGCATTTTCTATCCTTACAGGCTACTGAAAACACATCATTTCTTATATCACATCACAGTGGCATTTTTGTTACCTCACAA